TCCCACTGATACCAATGACGGGGCACTATTCCACTGATACCAATGACGGGGCACTATTCCTCCCACTGACACCAATGATGGGGCACTATTCCCCCACTGATACCAATGACGGGGCACTATTCCCCCCACTGACACCAATGACGGGCACTATTCCTCCCACTGATACCATGACGGGGCACTATTCCAGTGGACGGGGCACTATTCCTCCCACTGACACCAGTGACGGGGCACTATTCCTCCCCCACTGACACCAGGACGGGGCACTATTCCTCCCACTGACACCAAGACGGGCACTATTCCTCCCACTGATACCAATGACGGGGCACTATTCCTCCCACTGATACCAATGACGGGGCACTATTCCCTCCCACTGACAATGTTACCACGGGGCACTATTCCTCCCCACTGATACCAATGACGGGGCACTATTCCTCCCACTGACACCAATGACGGGGCACTATTCCTCCCACTGACACCAATGACGGGGCACTATTCCCCCACTGACACCAATGACTGGGGCACTATTCCCCCCACTGATACCAATGACGGGCACTATTCCTCCACTGATACCAATGACGGGGCACTATTCCCCCACTGATACCAATGACGGGGCACTATTCCTTCCACTGATACCAATGACGGGGCACTATTCCTCCCACTGATACCAATGACCGACGGGGCACTATTCCTCCCACTGATACCAATGACGGGGCACTATTCCTTCCACTGACACCAGTGACGGGGCACTATTCCTCCCACTGACCCAACGACGGGGCACTATTCCTCCCACTGATACCAACCAATGGGGCACTATTCCTCCCACTGACACCAATGACGGGGCACTATTCCCCCCACTGACACCAATGACGGGGCACTATTCCCCCCACTGACACCAATGACGGGGCACTATTCCCCCACTGACACCAATGACGGGGCACTATTCCTCCCACTGATACCAATGACGGGGCACTATTCCTCCCACTGATACCAATGACGGGACACTATTCCTCCACTGATACCAATGATGGGGTACTATTCCTCCCACTAATACCAATGATGGGACACTATTCCTCCCACTGACACCAATGATGGGGCACTATTCCTCCCACTGACACCAATGATGGGGCACTATTCCTCCCACTGATGCCAAGTTGGATTTGAAATAGTCCTAATTTATCAATACCTATTGATCCTTTCCTTAGCAAAGTACCAGAGTACATCTGCTTACAAAGCTCCCTGACCTCACAGTTCTCATATCTGTCTAAGAGAAACAGATGGGGTTGGTTGGTGACATCGGTTGTCCAGTCCTGCACTGACCTCATCATTCCTCCTGAATTTTCCATTGGAAAATGAGGTGTGTGATCTGTTTATGTATTACAGGATTTTATATAGCATCAACTAATTACGCGGCACTTTACATATTTTACATCCACAGCAATCCCTGCCTCCAAGGAGCGTACTATCTACTATCCAAGGTCCCTAACTCACATTCATACATACACATATTAGGGCCAATTTACAGGAGCCAATTAACCTACCAGCATGTCTTTGAAGTGTGGGAGGAAACAGGAGTACCCGGAGGATACCTATGCAAGCACAAACAGAGCATGCAAACTCCATGCAGAGAGATTCAAACTAAGGAACTCAGTGCTGCAAGACATAAGTACTAACTACTCAGCCACTGTGCTGCACAGAATAGTAACAAGTAAGCTCAAACCCCTTCCAATATACTGTATGCAGACCTGTTTTCTATTCAACTAGAGAACAACTACTAACAGAACATCATCTTTGCAAGTAAAAACGTATCAAAGGTGCTGGAGAGCTGCTGTGTTTATCCACCTAACTTCAGTAACCTAACCTCCAGGGTTGCCATAGTGACATGCTAACAGTAGCATGAAATAACAGTAACATGAACCACGATGCTATAAAGTAGGAAAGTTATGTGTTAAATCTTTTTTAAATACAAAGATCTTTTATTGTATTTTTTGAAGAATGTTCAGTCAACCTACCGGAACATTTCTGTCCGCTCAGTTGTATGCAGGGGCAGACTGACCATTCAGTCTCCCAGGCACTGCCTGAGGGCCCGGGGTCAGTAGGGGGCCCCATGAGATGCCCCTGGTACCTTTCATAGTTTTTTCTGGGTGTGGTTTGAGTGTGGGCAAGGACACGGGCCCCATGATGCCCTATTTCCCGGGGGCCCCATCAGTTGTCAGCCCGCTCCTGGTTGTATGACATCAGAACAAACAGATGTAAAACAAAATGTTTAATCTTTCTGAAACTGAGCTTGTAATATTTCCTCCTCCCCAATTGCCCAATCATGACTTTACCATTAAGATCAACAGCACAACCATTGGTCCTTCCCCTCATGCCAGGGTGCTAGGCGTAATCCTAGACTCTGACCTCTCTTTTGTGCCCCACATCCACCACTCACTGGCTAAATCCTGCCGCCTCAAACTCCAGAACATTTCCAAAATCCGCCCTTTCCTGACCAATGACACCACAAAACAACTGATACACGCCTTGGTTATAATCCCGCCTTGATTACTGCAACTCCCTCCTCATTGGTCTCCCGTTACACAGGCTATCCCCCCTTCAGTCTATTATGAATGCTGCTACTAGACTCATATACCTTACCAACCGATCAGCGACTTCTGCCCCTCTCTGCCAATCCCTTCATTGGCTTCCACTAACTCCAACGTATAAAATTCAAAATACTAACCACAGCATACAAAGCCATCCACAACACTGGCCCTAGCTACATCACCAACCTCATCCGCAGATACCGCCCAAATCGCCCGCTCCGCTCCTCCCAAGACATCTTGCTCTCTATCTCCCCCCCACCCCCTCCCACACTCACCTCCAGGACTTCTCCAGAGCCTCTCCCATCCTCTGGAATTCCCTACCCCAGTATGCCCGGTCAGCCCCTGCCCTGTCTGCCTTCAGACGATCTTTGAAACTCACTTATTCAGGGATGCCTACCCCACCTCCACCTGTTCTTGAGTCACCTCCACCAGATCATCCCCCGCAGCTATCACCTTTTGTATCACCTTCCCCTTCCTTTAGATTGTAAGCTCCATGAGCAGGGCCTCCTATTCCTTCTGTACTGAAATGTATTGTAATTGTACTGTCTCCCTTATATTGTAAAGCGCTGAGCAAACTGTCGGCGCTATATAAATCCTGTATAATAATAATGTTTGACTATGAATGTTAGGGTCACTCACAGCATTCTGACCTGAAATAAGACAACTGAGCCCCCTCCTACCTAAAAATTCCTTGTCCAAGTCTGCTAATGCTTCCATGGTGATATGTAGCCAGCATGAACAACCCTAAAATAAACCCCCGCCCAAAAAAAAAAAAAAATCACTAACATCTTCGTCATTAGAGGACTGACATGTACTGAACCTCAACTTCCCTCCTCCTTCTCAGAATTGGGCAGCTGTTCATACAAGCAGAGGCAGCTGCAAGCTACACCAAACATGCCGGTGTGGTTTACCTAAAACCGGATCTGCCACCTTGAATAAAACAGAGTTTATTGTTCTTGGCTCAGGATTTAAAAAAAAAAAAAAAAAAAAAAGTGTTTTATATCCGTTTTGTAGTAAAACAGAGCCTAGAACCTAAATATGCTTTTCTATTCCAACTGAAAGAACTATGGGTAATCATCACAGGAAGCCAGCCTTCAGGAGGTCTTCTACATATGGATGAAAGTATCAGGCCTTACAAAGCTGCCAAAATTCCTGGGAAAACTGGAAGAGTGCTTTGGCGGTGTGCCGGCCCTGCCTGGAAGGGGTGGGGGAGCTGCCTGCAATTACTTTTTAAAACCTCATCCCTATCAGTGTGGGGCAGTATTAAATCCCAAGAACTGCTAAAATGAATGACGGCACCCTGGATATAACCATCTGTGAAAAGGCTCGGTAAAACCAACCAGATCCCCAATGGTGCCACCCGAGTTGGACTTCCCCTGTACTTAAATGGGACATTGGGATTTTCGTTCACGTCACTGCTTCTCTCCCCATACAAGTAATTGGGAATACAAAAGCAGTTTGAAGCAGGGCGGAGATCCAAAGGAGGTCAACTGCGCCTGTCAATGAATTCTGAAGCATCTCAAACTGATGTCAAAGGCCAGCTGCATTTATCCATCAATACAAGCCCATTGACATAGGCCCTAAAGCCGTTTCACCAGCTTTATATAATCTATTCTTATAAAGATTTAAAGCTTTCTTTTTGAGGGTTTTTGTATGGACATGAAGCCTCTGGAATTGGCAGTCTTGGCTGTGCACCCATCTCCACCATTTGTGGTTTAGTGGGCAATGGAGGAACAAGGGAACTCGCTCCAACCATGAGGTTGAAATACATCTGGAGTAGACTGTAAAGGTATTGAAAGCTATGGAATACTATATTTTGTACATCATTGCCACACCTTGCACTGCCTTAAAGGAAATCACTCACCCATTTTAAATCCATTCAGGGCAAAATGATATACATCTCCTTAAAGATCACCCCCTGCTCCACCTATAATCACCTTCGTCCTATTCTCCTCTTGCTCCTTCCTCCATTGCAGCCCTCACAAATCACCTGGGGTTCCCAGTTATTGGGAAACACATGACCTCTTCTCATAATGTACACTGGTCAATCAGCAGGCCCAAACATGGTCACATGACAGAAGGGGGTACATGAGCTCTGTCACCATCCAGTACTGAACTTATACAAGGTCCCCATCATTCTCCTGTGTTACCTTCCAATCTGGATTTCCCAAGGCTTAGGCCTCAAGTTGGGGGAGGTGAAGGCAAGATCAGAGGAGCACACACAACAGAAAAGACTTATGGATTCAGTTTTAAACCAGGAGATTTACGATTAAAAGCTTAAAATGTCTGACAGGTTCACTTTAATAATCGAGTGAGCCATAGATCAGTTTTCTGCCTCCATTACAGGAACCAGCTCCTGTATGATGCTGAAGATCACCATTATAATAATATGTCAGGTTTCCCTATGGGATCTCTCACCTCATAGGCCTTACAATGTCCAGGAGCCGCCTCGCAATTCAGGGATTCATCTCCAGCCAGGTCAATGGCCACAACGGTGTCATTGTGATATTTCTTACAGAGCTCCACCACTTCTAAGGACCAGCCTGTTCATCAGAAAGCAAAGACGACATTAAGATTAGGTATACGTGTTGTCTACGCAGTACCGGATGTGGCACATAACAGCGTCAACCCTAAAAGAAGGAAATACATCACACAGGTTGTAACAAAAAATGTCTGCCTTAAAGGATCAGTCCATTCAGAAATGAGAATCTGGTAACGTGTGAATGCTTTCTGAGTAGGATCATTTATGATGATCATTTTCACACTCACTTTTCTATCAGTGGTTTTAATAATGTAAAAAATAACACTTCAACATGGAGAGTGGCAACCTCCCAGGATGACTGAAGGGGGGAGCTGGGAACGCAGGCGGAGAGATCGCCCTAACACTAGATGGCTGAACTTGACATCAACTGTAATTCCACTATTAGGTATACTAACCTCTTGAAAATTACAAAGTGATAAGCAGACTACAATTGAAACTTGAAGAGAAACTCCACAATCACTTCACAAGTATTAATTGCAATTGAGCTGTCCATGTAACACTGATGCAAATTATGGAAAACCATATATGGAAAATGTTGGTGTTTGTCCCTTCGGAAATGTTTTTTTTTTTTTTTGGAAAGTCTGAATCAGGTGTCGAAAGTTGTGTACACACTATACGAAAATCGACTATACGTGCCTCATATGGAATTTTTCTTCTGATTTTCTCACCACTTTAGGGTGTCTACCCATGGATGCAGAAAGAAAAGAGACACCTTTGAACAGCAGCATTGTGAGTTTTAGAGGGGGGGGGGGACTTGGGTTTGGGTTTGATACTACTTCAGGATGATCCCTGAAATAGTTAGTCTATTGACAAATCAGCTGGTTCACAATGGAACACGTGATAGGTTTTAATTTTTAATGAAAAAGGTTTTCATTTTTAATGAAAAGGTCCAAAATGCGCGAACACAAGTCATATTTTGGCTTTCTGGTTCCTGGCTGCATACCAAGGGGGTGATGGAAATATTTTAAGGACTAAAACAACAACATCTGTTTTTGACAGCAGTGCTGATGGAAATCCCTCTTGAGGCAGAGATGGAATTTTAGGGGCCCCATTCTGCAACATATTGAACTATATAAAGCTATCACAGATGTGCCTGCGGTGAAGGAAGGATATTACAATCTACATTTCATGGGGATTAGAATATACAATAGGTTATACAAAAACATAGCAACGTTGTCACTGTGTGACCTCTGCAGGTCTACAATGGATTTCCCATCACTTCCTGAGCATGTGACTATAGAAGCATTACTATGATCTGGACATCATGGTTCCTTTCTCGGGGGTGTATCCTCCAAATATTTCTACACAGCATTGACGAGGGCATGGGGACATTATCTGGGTCAAAAACAGTCGCAAATTACTTTTGTACATGTCAACTGTAGACTCAGAACCTGTAAGTGGAATTTTACTGCACATTTGAGATGCGAGAGACCCTAAAATCAATTGCATGGAGCTACCAGAAAAAAGGTGCACCAACAGCTGGGCTGCCAGGACCAGGGTTTACCAATAGCAGACCTGTCCTGATGCTCTGACAGTTGGTTTGTCAAGACAAAGGCTCACAGGACTGTGGGCCTGCAAGAAAACGTTGCGCTGGCAGTGGGCCTACCAGGACAAGGGCGCACCAAGAATGGGCATGCCAGGACAGGGGCAAACTGACAGTGGGCCTGCCAGGACAAGGACATGCCAAGGGTGGGCATGCCAGGACAAAGGTGTGCCAACAGTGGGCCAGCCAGGACAAGGGTGAACCAAGAAGGGGCATTCCAAGACAAGGGAGTGTCAACAGTGAGCTTGCAAGGATAGGGGCACACTGACAGTTGGCCTGCCAGGACAAAGGAACGCTGACAGTGGGCCTGCCAGGACAAGGGTATGCAGAAAGTGGGCCTGCCAGGACAAGGGAAGACAAAGAGTGGGCTTGCCAGGACAAGGGAGAGCTGACAGTGGGCTTGCCAGGACAAGGGAGAGCTGACAGTGGGCCTGCCAGGACAAGGGTATGCAGAAAGTGGGCCTGCCAGGACAAGGGAAGACCAAGAGTGGGCTTGCCAGGACAAGGGAGCGCCGACAGTAGGCCTGCCAGGACAAGGGCATGCAGAAAGTGGGCCTGCCAGGACAAGAGAAGACCAAGAGTGGGCCTGCGAGGACAAAGACACACCAAAATTGGGCTTGCCAGGAAAAGGGAAGGCTGACAGTGGACCTGTAATTAAAAGTGCATACTGAAAGTAAATTTATGAGAAAAAGGGTGCTCCAACAAGATAAGCCTGCAAGATAAAGAGTACCTTGACAGTGGCCTGCCAAGAAAAGGGCATGTCGACAGTGGGCTTGTGAAAAAAAGGTGCGCTGACTGTGGGTCTGCCAGAACAATGAAATGCCAATCGTGGGCCTGCTAAGTTCTTAGAAGAAAAGCATATTGACAGTTGGGCTCCCAGGACAAGGATTCATACTTGTTCTAGGACCCCAGCTGGGTCAGTATGATTTCTTTGAGGAACCCAAATGCATCATTGCTGTAACAGCCCAACAGCGTGACCCCCACAGCCATGGTACACCGATGAGAATACTGTGTTCACTATGAACTAATGACACCAGTGAAATGGAAGCTTTCCAGGGAAACAAAATGATGAGCTGAGCTACCACTTAGAATAGTCAGAAGGTGACTTCATTATTTCAGGCTGGTTCTTATAGTCTGTTTTTATAGATAATAAACAGATAACAGGCAGATCCATCTGTCATAGGAGTAGCCATGTCAAGTGACAAAAAACATTGTAATAATAAAAGATACAAAAACACTGCAATAGTGTCATGTCTATTATTAATCCGTGTTTGACTACCAACTCTTTAAAAATCCTATTTAAATATCGCATGTCAACCTGAAGCCTCTTATCTGTACCATTCATTGTAATTGCAGATGGGCAGTTGTTACGGACTTGCAATGGGATTCCCAAAGGAGGTCAGCCTTGTGTATACAGTTAACACCCTCTAAGGGGGAGATCAGCATTAGCAGTCTCCATATATCTCTTAGTACAAGAACCATTTAACACACGGGTGTCAAACTGGTGGCCCTCCAGCTGTTGCCAAACTACAAGTCCCATGAGGCATTGCAAGACTGACAGTTACAAGCATGACTCCCTAAGGCAGAGGCATGATGGGACTTGTAGTTTCGCAACAGCTGGAGGGCCACCAGTTTGACACCCCTGCTTTAACACTAAAGGAAGGGTATATTTGCTGCAGTCCAATTTACTTACACCCTGTGATACCCAAAACGTACCTAAACCGCACTACCAGCCAAATGTCTACTTTAGACCAAAGAAAGAGGTGCAACTTGTGTCTATGGGGCACACGTGAAACTAAACCCCCCTCCACCTTGCCTTCTGCAATTCATTGCCCCCTGCTTGAGCAGACTATCGGGGGGGGGGGGGGGGGTAAGTCAGTGCTTATCCTTATGCAAATAGTGACATTCTGAAATGTCAACATTGGCAAAGGGTTTGTGGGCCCCTAAAGAGGGAGGAGAGGTCAAGATACATGTAGACGCCTTAGGTGCACTTGTAGATACCTGACCTACCAAGCTTGAAGATTACTAAACCTGGAGTACAAATATAAAGTGGACGTGCCATTACACCATAAAGTCTGCTCAGAGCTCAATGCTAAATTCCAGGCTTGGAAAGATACTTTTAAGAAGTGCAGAACAGCTAATAGTGGTGTGGTATTTATTACCACCTCCCTGAGGATGAAAGCCTCTTGCCACCATCTGCATAAGCCATAAAACATCCTGTAACTAGTAATTATATCACAATTAATAATTGGTTCAGCAGTGGAAGCATTTGGGGTCACACTGAGACTCTTACAGGACCACAGGCCTAGGAGTTGTTGACTCAAGTCTACTAGAGATAGATACTACAACAGTGATGTGGTGATGGACACAAGTCAAAGTCCCTTATACCAGAGGGAGCTTCAATGTGCTAGGGATGGGTCAATGTAGCTTACTGTGATAACCTTCAGAATGATTGCAGAAGAAACGGCAAGCTGAGTGCTCCAGGATCTGCCTACCCAGAACCATGTTAAATTGTTCTGGAATTTGCGGTTGGGGGACAACTGCACCATGGCTTCTGACTGCATATGAGCTCCGTGGGATGCTGTAAGAGGCTCCAACACAACATGCAGCTTAGAGATGCTTGAAGGTGGGGCCCCTGATCATATGCAAGATGAAGAGGTAGACTCCATCTGATAAAAGAAGTGAGAGTAGGAATTTTGAAAGCATTTAAAAAATGGTTCCAGCCTGTTCCTTGATCCCAGTGCATTATCCCTGACAAGCACAGAAGTGAAGAATTGCCCAACATCTCACACTCTTGCATATAAACAAAAAAGACCTAATGTTCTGTTATCACCTGTAGAGAGGCCAAAGGTCACATCTCACCCCAACTGACTCACCCTGGCATCAGAGGAGCAGGATATGCCAAAGAGATTTACACCAAGCAGTGAGTCATCTCTATACATCCTTATGGGATCCACCTGGAGCGGTCACAAATCCAAACACCAAAAATCAATTTCCAACAGTTTATGCAGCCAACACAATTTCTGCCAGCAGAAAGTTTAATACCGCAAGGACTTGCAAACCGTTCCCAGGGACGCCTCCACAAGTCTAATTATTTAAGACAGAAATATTCAAAATCTTGAATACTCCAAGTCATGACAGGTTCTCGTTAACTGCTTGCCGATGTCAGACTGAGATCATTCCAACAATAGATCTTTTATAAACATGTATGCTTGGATCAGTCGAACACACATGTTTATGCGTATGGAGGAAGAAAAAGGCAAAGTTGGATATCAGAGGCCCTAGCAATTTACCTTATAAATCCAACTTTTGTAATTGTTTCTACTCCTGAGATCTGTCAGAGGATGTCTTGAGTGCTCCCAGACATAGAATCCCTTCCCCAATATGACCAAATGCACGTATACGCCTATGGATGAGGAAAAAGATAGAGCTGGGTTATCAGGGGAGCCTATGACAAT